TCTAGAAAAATGAAAAATGCCAAATATCCCGTGAATAGATATGAAAATTTGAATCGGGCCACTAATATTTATGCCTGAAAATCATGCTTTTACTATTATTTGTTACTACATTTGAATATAAGAATTTTAAAACTTAATTGTGAAATAATCATGATAAAACAGTAAATATGGATTCATATCAATTCAGGTGTGGATCAAATCGTGCGCAGAAGTTGCTTGTATACAGAAGAAATTATTACATATGCCCTGTGATGGAATTCCTGATATACATTCACCCACTTTGCCACATATACGTAAGATTTCGTGTGATTGGCGATCATCTGCCGATCACAATAATTTGAAAAGCACGAAATACTTTCGTACGAGTTTTAAAAAGTCGTGATAATTTTTTCTTCGGAACGGACATATATATCCCTTTTGGCCCTATTGGCATGATCACTTCAGAACGTCGAGTTACAACAGTATTTAATTCATCATTCTATTCATTACACAAATTATTAGTCACACCTATTGTAGTATTATTCGGGAAAGTTAGATTGAACAGGCCAATTTATCTCTAATAGTTACAGAAAAATCCAAACTTTTGCAACCGATAGATGCGTTTTCAATTTGCGTAATATGTTGCTGATTGAGGATTAGCATTCAATAGTTACGATCTTTGATAAATATGTAACTGCCGATATTTAGTATGCGTTATTTTGGATACGCATAGATGCTATTTCAAAACTAAATATACTATTTTTCGAGGTTATGATTTTTTTGAAATAGCGCCCCATGTCTGTCATTTCGATAAATTCTTATAAAAGGGGAACAACTTTGATGCCAGTTCTTTAATAATCAAATATCAATTATCGTGTTAAAACTTATCAACATAAAGAACTAAAATGAATCTAAATTTTATTTTCGTATTTACTTTATTGGCTACACTTCTCACCGTCAATGCTATTCCATTCCAGAAAAGAAAGGCTGAATTTAGACTCTGTGATGGTTACCCTGAAGGAGCTTTCGACGTTAACATGAATCCAGACCCTGTCAAACTTGGAGAAAACGTAACTTTTGATATTTTTGCGACTGTAACTGATGATGTTTTGGATGATGGAAAAATTATAGTGGATTTTCTCGATGAAGATAGTTTTATTTTACTAAGTCAACCTTTTGATCTTCCTCCGGGCATTAAAGCTAACCAAACAATAGATGATATAATTTCAATGCCAGTGAAACTTTCAAGTTTACCAAAAACCTACTATATACACATTGGTATTTATTCGCATACAGCTGATGCTCCATTTTTAGATGTTGCCTGTACAAGAGCCTTTATAGTAACACAAGAGCCTTTATAGCAACACAAGAGCCTTTATAGCAACACAAGAGCCTTTATAGAAACCAAGGTTTTTTGTTAAATATATTTACAATATAGCTATTATTTATCTACTTTATAGTTACAATATTATTAAATTAATATATGGGTGTTATTTATTAAAACAGCCTATTTTTACAATTTTTTGAAAAATAAGTTTTTATTAGATTTATGTAAATTTTGATATGATTGATATTTTCAATTATAAATGAAAGTCTATTTGCATAATGAAAAATAGAGATAATACAGAAAAAAATTATACAAAACAGTCTAAGACCAAACATATTACAAGATTACTTAATAGTCATCTGTTATCTTTAAACAATCAAAATTGTAAATTTGATTAATTCTGGATTAGTTCAAAAATCAAAACAAATAATTAAACTTAATTATCTCAAAATTGTTTATATATAAAAGTGTGCTATTTTAATAAATAACACCCCATATAACAAACAAATAATAAATTTATATTAAAGGTCTTTTATTTATATTATAAAAATAATTTTTTACTGAAAATAAAAAAAACTCTTTTTATAAATCCTTTACACAAACTTAAATAAAAATTTACACATTATAAAATTGCTAATATCTCAATAATTTATTAAGAAAACAGACCTTTGCACCTTAAATAAAATTGTTTCTTTCATAATTTTATATATATTTTAGAAGTTTCAAAGATCTAGCTTGAAAACCTGTAGTTTTATACTACAAAACATTTCTTGGTTTCTTTAAACTAAACTTTTGCTTATTTCTTGAAAACTGTCTTCACAACTACTCCCTGGATCTTAAGAGGAAGTTGTAGAGCTTATCATTCCAGTCAAAACAAGCTCTAAATGAAGATTTTTAATCTAATATTAATTGAGTTATAACAAAAATAATCTTTACTCCTTTTTAAACTCTTTGCAAAAAATTTTTTGTCTTTACCCCACTTTTCTCTTTCAATTCATTTTTCATGTAACCTCAAATCACTTCTAAAAATAGTTCAAATTAAATTTAATTTGTACAAACTAGACACTTGAGAGTTATAAATATAATAATATAGTTTAATTATTTTATATATATATATTTTTTCATTATTGGCAGCCTCACTGGTATCTTTATTAGATCAAAGCTAATGTGAAGTTATATTATAAACTATTTAATTTATAGATCTGACATCACTCGGCTTCCTCTACGGGTGCCCAAGTGTGGTCTGCTTCACTGGTTAAGGCTATTGCCTGTACTAGAGAGCTGCACCAAGCTAGCCGATGAAACCATAGCAAGATGGTTTCGATTTAAAGAGATTTTTAACTAAACTAACTTGGCAATTTTTCCTTTCTAAACTATCCTCCATTTTATCATGAACTAAAACTAATTTTCTATTAACAAACAATTCTATCTCCTTTCTCAATAAGGGGATATTGCCAGAAATCTCTCATTTATATTTGCGTTTCCTTTTCCTCTTCTTCCAATTAAACCTGTTCTTTCTGATTAGAGACCTATTTCTTAGAACCTTATATTATACAGCTTCGTGTCTTCTTCTGCTTTTTGGATGCTTTTTCCATATTCTTTCTATACAGATACTCTTTTGTAAGTTTTCTTTTCTTCAAAAAATCTTGAGCCTTCTTTTGGTCTTTCCATTCCAGAGTCTTTAATAGTCGACCCGAATTTATTTTCTTCTATGTTCTGGGTATAGAGGTCTTCTTTTTTTCTTTTCTTTAACTTTTTCTTTTTTTTTTCTTTCTAGGCTTTGGTCCTAGCTTTTGTTTTGCATTTTTGCTTCTGTAAGATCTAAAATGTCTTGTCTTTTGCTTTTCTTTTCTGTTTCTTTTTTGATTTTTCTTTTTTCCTTTTCTTGTCTAAATGCAGTAGATTTAACAAATATTTTAAACTATAATATTAGAGTCTTTAATACTTTTTGGTTCTGCTGCCTTTGTCAAGTTTTCCTTTATTCTTAAAGTTTTTTACTCCAATCTAAATTTAACTTTGACTTTATATTAGCAGCTTGCTTTTTCTTTTGTTGAACTTGCATCTTCTTTTTTTCTTCTTCGGCTTTTCTTTTAATTTATTGTTGGTTTGCTGAGTAGTCTTGACAGATTCTTTGAATTGTTGTATTATAGATTTCAGGGCTGTTTTATTGTGCTGTTTTTGTCGATTTTTCCTTTGTTCTTAAAGTTTTTCCTCTATCCTAATTCTAATTTTGACCTTATTTCAGCATCTTGTCTTTCTCTATCTTCTATTAATCTTCTTATTCTGTTTGCTATCCTTAATTCTACCATAATACTGATTATTTCTTCTTTTATAATTTTACCAACTGGGTCTTCTCCTTTTTGTATTGCTTCATGAAAATATTCATGGTCTTTTTCTATAAGTGCAAGTTCTGTATACTCTAATTCTCCTCTATTTTACCTTCATAATTCTTCAAAAGTTTTTCTATTTGTACTTCGGCTACTTCTTCTGGAATGAGTTGCTGTCTAGTATATTCTATCATTATCTGTTCTACTTGCATGTTTATCATTTCGTCAGTTATTGCTGTTATTATATTCTGGATAGCTTCTAATCCCTTTTTTTGTAACAGTCTTCTTTCAAAACCTTGTACTAACTTCTGCTTCATGTGACTTGTTGTTTTTTGGTTATCGTTGTTTGTTGTTACTACTTGTTGTGATTGTTTATCTCTATTGTTTATTTTTGTTATGTAGTTTTTGGTGTGTTTCCTTTGTTTATTTTTCATTATGCATTGTAATTCTTGTACTATCAAAACAGATCTGCAATTCAGGGTCAAGGCTGATTCCCCAAAAATTCGTAGTGCAAAAAAATATTGATGATTTTTTATGACTTCTTCTATTTGTTTGCTCCTTTTGTTTCTTTTAGTTAAGTCTCTTAAAAGACTAAGTGTTTTTTGTAGTCTTCTTCTTCTTTTTTTAGAGCTCTGAGTTTTGTTTCCTAGTAGCTTTTTGTGTTTTTTTGTAATTTTTGTTAAAATTGTTTTTCAGAAAATTTGTTTTGATGATCAGTGGAAAGAGTTCGTTGCTAAATTGCATAGTTAATTATTTATAATTAATTTTTTAAATATTAATTTAAATTATATAGAAATAGATATATTTTTATATTTAAAATAAAAATTATATGAAATTTTATGTTATAGATTAATTAATATTATAAAGATTTAAGGGTGTAGTGACTTAGTGAAGTTGGCAAGTTGTCACACCCCCAAGCAGCAGGACAAGAGTTCGAATCTCACTGGCGACAAAATTCAGATTTTACAGAATGTGTAACGGTATACTGTGTGATATCCTGAGGGGTGGTAGCACCTGTAACCTTGATCGTACCAGCCTGTACTAGGAGGCTGTGTAACACACGGGTTATGCAACCATGTAAAAACTAGAGCTCGGGCTCATGGCACACAGAAGCCTGCTTGGCAAGATCTGAACAAGGAGGTAGTGAAGATCTTCGACGATACTGCAGAAAACCGGAACCAGAGACCAAAAAACCGGACGCAAAACCCTGGGGCAAGAATGGTCCACCAACCTGGCCGCCGGAGTCGCACCGGAGAAAAAGGTCCTATGCTACAGAATTAGGAACCAAGGGAAGTAGAACGGAAGGCGCTTAAAGCCTAGATACAACGACCCATCCGAGCTAACTAGTTTGGTAGTTAGGGAGGGATTGATGAAAGGACTGGTTTGATGCGGGTATTAGGATTAGAACGAACCTTGTAAGGGCACAGGTACTGGAATTGTGCGGTTTAATGGTTCACCCTGACTGCTAGTGTCAGTTTCAGCTATTGCGGAAGGTATCTGAAGCCTAATCTGGAAATGTGTGGGCATAGAAAGATTAGGTGGGTAAATCTACACCTCCCCTAAGGTAACCCGGTAAGTATGAGAACACTACTGGGTTATCTATAGAATTAGGGCACAAGTAGTAAGCAGATGTCGATCTGGGTGGTCTCACTGCAACAGCACGAGGTTATGAGCTAGTGTGATTGGGGTGGTGTTACAGGATAGGGTAATCAAGATTGTAATACTAAAATACCTAATAAAAATTCACTAGTTCGCGACATTGCGAAGGTTTAAAAAAAAAAAAAAAAAAA